AACATTTTCTGGGGAGCATGCCCCCAGACCCCCCAAAATCCTATAGTTACGCGCTTGACAGTTCCTGTATCATCCGCATCCGCCGAGCGCAGCTTTTCAAAGCTGAAATCAGTGAAAACTGTTATGCGTTCAGTAATGAACCAGGAACGCCTCGGCGAACTCTTGACTCTGCGTGTGAGCGCGATCTAACAGACACGATCGATCTTGACGAAATCGCTAATCCGTGGTCAAACCTGACTAAGCGTGGACACTTATAAAAATATGACGTTTCACAGCAAACTGTATGTGTTCTTGCAAAATTCCTAATAAATGCCATCAATTTCCATGCTTTGTACTCAATTTTAATGCAACACACCAACTCACCAAGAGTCGGTCTGGATTCACATTTCAGTGGTGAGTCGGTCTCATTTCGTGATCACACCCTCCCAGTCAAAATCGATATGTTCGCCCCTGATAGTGTTATAGAAATACTAGCAAATCATTATACGATTTATTATGGGAGTAACTAATGATATAGTAATGCACGGTTGCACGCATATACTAAACACTGTTCCAGAACACCGTGTGCACTCCATTTTATATCGTTCCAGACAGGGACGCTGGAACGGTAAAAAGGCAAAGGGGGGCAAACGCACACCAAAAGGGCACCTCTATTTATCCCGGTGAAGAAATAAACCTACAATAATGTGTTGACTTGCCAATGAAAGCAAACGCACTTAATCAGGTCACATTCAAGATCACACCTTATGATTTTGCCCAAAAAGCATCACTGCAAATGTGATTTATCAGGTGATATTTTACAACTCAAAGGGCACTTCTGCCCCCCTTGCCCCTCCTAACAAAAGTTAAGAGGGGCAGCTGCCCCTCCAGTTCCGGCGTCCCTGGTTCCAGAACAGTGTTCCAAATGTTCTACATGTAGAACAGTATTAAAATGGAGCACTGAGCCATGCACAGTTTCTTGCAAGGATGTATTCAATACTAATTTCCGGGCTGTTTGAGTACATGGCATTGGATACACGAAACTGGACATACAGTATACAGATTGAATGCCTGAGTCCTATACTGCGTAAACACAATTGAATCGAATTTTATGCATGGCATTATTTAATTTAAGGTTTTCAGTGTCGTTCAACATATGAATATGATTTGCTGATTAATTTAACGCAGCGCGTAAAACAGTGAAAACTCTTTGCTCTGTAGTCAGTGCAACCATTTTTAATCGATCTGACGGGACTAACTTCTACGTCGTTTTAACTTCCAATTGGACCTTTCATGTACAATTTATGCAGTTTTAGTATGCTCGTACGATTACAATGTCAATATGCATTCTAAACTCCCACCAGTTGTTTGGGTGTTTACAACAAAAAAGTGCTTTTTAAAGGGACACCCTGTAGAATCATATACAAATTAATTCGTAGACTATTGAAAAATTCCCAAAATTTCCGCCCTCCCCCTTTACAATGTTGGCTTGTGATCCAATACTAAATAATGGTTTGAACCAACTTTGTACTAGAGGGAGGAAGGGACTGTTACTATTTCTAAAGATCATGGATTCACATGGTCGTGTTTTGGGCTAAAAAGAAAATAGCTTTATTATTCGATTAACAGTCGGGCAATTTTGGTTTGTAATAAAAATAAATGGGACAAATTCTGTCAATTTAGTGAAAATTCAGTCAATTTTGTGTCAATTATGTGATTTTTGGAAAATTTGTGTGATGTTCCGAAAAATTTTGGTATGTCCGGAAAAATTTTTTGAGCCCTAAAATGGTACACTGACCGAATTTTTTTTGGCGACGGGGGGGGGGGGGGGGTGGTGAGGTCGCCGAAATAATTTTTCCGGAAAAAATTTTTTAGGTACTAGTTGGGCACAATCCCGAAAACTCGGGCAAATTTCTTTCCGCCCCCCTAATTTTTTCCTTCCGGTACGCCCATGCATATAATCAAATGGGAAAAAAATTATTTTTATTTCCATGAATGTAGCTAGACTACTCGGGAGGGGGGGGGGGGGG